AAAAAAACGAACAGCATTAAGTAGCTAGCCAATCATAACCAGCGCTAAAATCATACGTCATTTCGAGCATTGTGATTGGTCGCAGAACAACATTTACCTAAAATTATTTACTTAATTGTAAATGAACATCATCTCATTACTTATCTCTAGTATAATGGATAATGAACTTTTGATGGCAATATATTTTATAAAGAGTTTTTAAAGTATATAAAGTTGCTATAGTTCGTTAGCGTGTTAGATAATATTGTAGATTGTTAATTGTACACACATTTCCCGAAATAAACATTCGTTTACATTAAATGGTCTAAAAGTTATTAAAGATAAATGACGTAAAAGACTAAAGAAAATGCGTAGAAACGATAACGATAATTTTTGAAAACAAAATATGAATGTATTATATTGAGTAAGGTATACATTAATGTATACCATAACAAAGAAAATTTTATAAGCTGTACAAAACCCTAATTCAATTATTAACCATTTATACAAAAATATTGTGTAAAAAATATTTTTTCAAAAAAGTGCACTTCTTTTACAACGTTAATAAATAACAACTTGTGTTAAACACAAACAAATATATTTATGCATATATAAAATTCTTATGATAATTACTTACATTGATATTTTTCAATTAAATTTCAACTTTTTGTGCAATATTTTTCATATTTTCAGTAACTTCAAACAGTTAATTTTTGGAAATATATGGAAATATATTAAAAACTGTCAAGTTATTCCTTCTTCCTAATTGTTTCATAAAATCCTGCAAAAACCCTAATAACCAATTTACACACATAACTATATATATATATATATATATATATATATATATTATTATAGAAATTTGTGACATCAGTGAACGAATATTAAATGTTAAATATTAACAAAGCAACACTCAGATTTTTAACACAACTTTATTTAATAATTACAAACTTTTCGAGACCATGGTGTGCCTCATTTTCAGTGTAATTTCAAAAACAGTTACTTATATACGATACATTCTTTAATGTTTTTTTAAACTATATTTAACTTTTGAATATAAAAAACCACCAACTATTCCTTGCATTGACAAGTGACAATTGTTTCAGTCAATGCTTGACACCGTGCTAAGACACATATGACACAGAAATATTCGAAACAAATCTGAAGTATCTAACGGAGGCAGGTTGGGTAACATAAAAGAAAAAGAATGCGCTCGCATACAAAAATCGATAAATATGAAATATACATTAATTTATTGAAGAGAATAAGATAAATGAAAAAATTATAAATTATTAATGATGTTTATATAAGTGTCGTGTTAAATATTTGTGTCGGTTCTCAGATTTACGCTATTGTTAGTCATATTGGCCAGACTTGCCAGAACTTAGAAAAAAGACTCAGGCAACATGAATTATAATGCGAAAAAATAGATAACAAAAAATTTAAAAGTACGCTTGTGGATCATCCTTATATCAACAACCATAAGTTTGATTTTGACAATCCCCAAATCTTATTCCATGAAAAAGACTTATTTATTTACATTCTATTTTTTTTATATCATTTTCCATCTATTTATGTATCTTATTCTATATTCTTCTTAATTTCTCTTCTCCTTATTTCCTTCAATTTTTGCTCTTTTTTGAAATTCCTAATTCTATTTAACTTTCAGCTTTATTCCACTTTTTTTCTTCATTCTTCTTTTAAGTTCTAATATTTTTATATATAAGTTAATAATAATAATAAGTTTTAATATTTATACGGAGCATGGCAGTATCAATATTAATAGTTCGGACTAACAATAGCATAAATCTGAGAACCGACACAAATATTTTACACGACACTTATATAAACGATGCCATACACCACTAGTGTTTGCACTAAAAAATTAAAACGCAAAATAGTCGTTTAGATAGCCAGGTATTATAAAAGAAAAAAGCAATTGTCTACTGATTTTTTTTAAATTAATTTTTCAAAATGTTATGCTTGAACTACGATTTGCGTCTGTTGTGAGTGCTGTTTTTTCTTCTTAATCTTCATAGAAACAGAAGTGATTTTAAAACTAGTACTTGGGTTTGGATTCAATTCTGTATTGGAGTCGCTCATTATAATTTTGCCTATGGGGAAAAAATTATTTGTTAAATTTTATAATTAAAATTAAAGTTAAATATGGTAGTTATTTACCATTTATGTCATAGCATTCACGAGTTGTTAGAATAAATCTGTTATCATATGTGGTCTGAATGTCTACTTTGCAGCCTTTGCTACCTTCTACACATTTAAGGCCTCCACATATTACAGTACCTGAAAAATTTCTAATTTTTTAATAAAATTGCCCAAAAAAGTAGAATAACAATTTAAAACCAATATATTACATCATAACCCATTATAGAGCAATCTTATCCTAATCGTAAGTCGATCTGATCTGATAATTCATTTGATATATTTTAAAAATAATTAATTATTAGGTAATTTTCGCATTCCATATTAATTTATTATGATTTAGTGAATACATTTTGCTTGTGCATTGATATGTTTCTACGTCTCTCAGTCAATATTTAATTTGAATATTGAATATTGAAATTGAATTACTATGGCTATGTCTACACATCTGCAACAAAACTTGCCATTTCATTATATTTTGATAGAGAATAATAAATTCTGTATGCAACATGAGAATATTCTATTTCTACTAAAACATTTTGATTCAAATAATTATTTTTTTTCTATAATTATTACCATTGGATGTTGTAGTAATTGCAGCCACTCCTTGATTATTTTGGTAATAAACTGCTTGAGACTGCATTATCGATTTTCCTTGGCATATCGATAATTTATTTATTATAAGTAATAAAAGTAATATGATGAAACTAGGTCTTCTCATCCTGGTGAGTCAAATAATATCTGCAAAAAAACTTTATTGATTATACCTTTATTTTTATTCTATTGGGACAAGCACTCATTTGACATAATTTTACACAAATTGCAACAAAAAACAAGTAACAAAATTTATTTATTTATATTGCATTTTAAAATTATCAATTATTCTGCGTTTGATAGAAAATCACAAATATCACATGGAGGAAGGAGGGGTCTAGTAAGATATCACGTGTATTTATTTTTTACCTGAATTTAAAAAATTTCAAAATTTTACGATTTTTTCATGAATTCGAAAAATTTATTCCAAAAATTTTGCATAACTAAAAATACACGTGATGTTTTGGAGGGGGAGGGGGATAATTTTAAATATCACAAAATTTTAAATAATCCAAATCCCTAAAAAATTGATCACGTGATTAATGGACACACCCCCAAATGGGACCGTCCTCCGACTCATAATTTATACTATTTCTTAATAATTAATAATAATTCTGTTATGTATATTTTATAAAACATTTCGTGCAATTTTCATTTTGAAATTTCGTTTCTATGATACTCTCTATTTTTGGAAAAAAAATATGATGGAACAGTCTTCTGTGCTAATGACTTCTGCAAACTTATATTTACTGTTAATAAATAAATATTAGATACATATTACATATAACTTTTTTCTAACGAATTTGTCAAATTTGTAATATCGATATTTATTTTTTTAGACTTATATCAAAATTAGGCATGTAAGAATTACATGTAAGAAAGGCTAACATAAGCATAAGCATGAAAAAAATAAAAATTATTTAATATATTTTTTCAAGTAATAAATATAAATTGAAATATATACTTTAATAGACGCAATTAATGATACATTAATAATGTTTTGATATAAATTAATTATTAAAATTATTAGATGATAATTATACTTCGATTAGCCACCAATTCAATTTATATTGATTTGAAAAATTATTTTAAAAAAATAGTGTAACATATAAACCAATAAATTTTTAAAATTATTGTGTGAATTTAATAAAAATATTTAAAAATCTTTTATAACAATGACGAATTCAATAATAAATTATGTATTAATAAATATTGATGTCATTTATTGTACTGTACTTGTACTGTACACAAAGGTAATTACAAACTCTTAATAATATCTCTTGCAGTTGCATAATGAAAATTACATTAATGTTCAGAAAATTACCTTGTTTTTTCGTACCAATTATAACCTGTGATAATTCTATATAATTCCCAAGAGTATGTGTTTCTCGGTTTATAATTTTCTTAATATTTCTATATAACTATAATTTATTAATATTATTTATAATAACTACTGCGTGCATGCAGTTTCACTATTTGTTTACCGATGATACTATTTGCTTGCTTCCATAAAAGATATATGGCGTTGCATTTTAAGTAATTATGCAAAATGCATAACATTTTGATAAGATAAGGTCTCGGTCAAATCATATATGTAACTGAATATATATTGCTGGGAAATTTGTAGTCTTTGTGTTAACAGAAATTGTGCGCAAAAATAGTATAAATATACGTTTTTAAGTTTATGTGTATTTTTATGCATCATTGGGAAATACTATAACTTGCATCTATATATGCATATTTTAAAAGATTTTTTATATTATGAACTGAAGCCCTTCTTTCACTCAAACATTTTTAAAAAATTTATTTATTTTTTAAAAATTCATTCATTGTGGGATGTGGATACTCTTCTTCAGGTATTGTTAAAATACTGTTATCAAAAATGCATTTTTTAATTATTCATTCATTCATTCAAATTAATTAATTTGTTTATTTCAAGTGGTCGTTTATATTACTATATCAAAATATTTATCGTTTCACCATATATTAAAAAATAATCATCACTAAATTATCTTGATCTTCGCTCTCTGATTTTCTATGAGATAATCTTTAATAGCGAACTGACTTGCATTTTATGCTATTTTTACAGATAAAGCGAATTATCTTAAATCTAAATAAAATTGTTTTGAAATATAATCATAAAAGCATTATGGTTTTATACTATCTTCTGTTATAATCTTCTGGACTTCTGCACTTTTAAACGTGACGCAAAAAGATAAATGAAACTTAATGAAAAGATATCACGTAAAAAAAATCCTGGGGTCTACTGAATAACTTTTGTATAATTTATACGTTGTAATGAAACTTTCAGAAATGTATAAAAATAGGTTATGCTTCTTGTACTTTTATCTAGGTTATAAATTATTTACTTAAGAAAATATTAAAAATGCATCACTCGAATATAACCTGGAAACTCATAATAATAAAAATACATATTTTATAGTTATATATTTATATTTGATTTGGCTTTGTAATTTGGTAAAATTGCTTAAAATACAATTATAAAAGAAATCTCAAAAGTTCCCATCGTTCTGGTGCGAGCTAAAAAAATGGCACAAGGTCAAAGGTGAAAAAGAATGAATATTTCGAGATTTTCACCTGAATGGTCAGTTTTATAGCAAAATTAAATTGGACAGAATTGTAGAGCATAAAATTATCTACAAAAGGGGTATGAATATTTTTTTGCCTCAGAGCCACCGTTTTGAAGATATATCACTTGGAAAAGTACATTTAAACGGCTTATACGAAGTAGTGAGCTTAATGTTTTTCACGTGGTTTCCCCAGTAGGCCTATTTTACGAATCTCTTGTTATTTAATTTGTTTCGAAAGTATTGCAAAATACTCCTGATTTTCCTTCTTTTCTTTTGCTGGTCCTTTACTTGACCCTTCACCTGACCCTTTACCTTTACCTGGTCGCTTACCTCTTCCTAGTTTCTTACCTGGTTCTTTACCCATACCTGGTTCTTTACCTTTCCCTGGCCCTTTACCTTTACTTTAACCTTTACCTCTATCTATAGCTCTACCTGGTCTTTTACCTTTACCTTTACCTCCATCTCTACCTGTTTCTTTAACTTTACCTCTACCTCCATCTCTGCCTACCTGGTCTTATACTTCTACCTTTACCTCCACATCTACCTGGTTTTTTACCTTCACCTCTACCTCATTTTAGGTCTAAATTGACCAGGCTAATTCGACGTGTAGACCGTTTAATTAATACAAAAATGTTTCTACGTCGGAAAAAACTACTTAGAATATATATAAAATCTTGCATGTATTTTTAGATATATAATTTGCTCGTATCTTTTTCAAATTAGAACGAACCAAATCAAATTATAACCTGCCAATCAATTTACCATCTGTATATCAATAATTTTATTCAAATGAACGGCATTGACTTCTACATTGTGGTAGAAAAAACACGCTACGACGTATTATATCTATTTGCAAAAGATGAAAAAGATAATTATGTTATGTAATAACCAGTAGGCATAAGAATTGCGATATCTAAAAATAAATAAATCCAAGAAGTGCTTTTTGGTATCTGAAGTTTTCTTAATTATCCTTAACAGTCTTAACGTGGTCAAGAGATTAGACCTAAGACAGTCGCCGGAGGTGCGATTTACTGAGTTATATTTGATTTAAATTGATTTGAGTTTAACTAATTTAAACTTAGTTAAATTGATACTGTGTAGATGGAAGATGATGTATACAGTGCAACCTATTTTTCTCTGATCAACTTCGTTGGGCAACATTTTTTAAATTTAACTTTATAGATTGGCCACCAGAATTACTGAATGCCTTTCCAGGCATTGTGTAGTTTTATGGAAATTTTTAAAAAATGTATGAATGCACATAATGTTTCTCTTTTATGAATAATTTTATTATTATTATTTCGCTGAAGAAACTAGTAACTTTAGAAATTAAAATTCATAATATTGCTTTAAGCTTTCTTTAATGCAAATGTTTGTAAGTTGTTTGCAAGACTATAAAGTTAAACTCGCTCTGATTATGTTCTTAAGAAAATATTATGCATAAATTCGAATTAAAAATGTGTTTCAATTTTTTTCTAAATACATTCGAAAGGTACACACATTATTTGACCTTAAAATTATAAGACATTGTTTTCATTCGCGAGATAATTCATAATTCCTCTTCATCTTGATAATAGCAAAACAATATTCTTATCACAATATCAGCGTAATTTTTGTATAATTTGGAAAATGTCCTTAATTAGGGTCAATTAAATGATTTGTAATGAGCTTAAAAGATTAAAAGTTGCATTGTTATTTATTTGCGATTTAAGTAAAGATTTTATTGCGCGGTTTTATATGATTTAGATAAAAATAAGAAAATATTTTACTTAAAAAATTTGCAATATTTTGATAAATTTATTTATTTTATTTTAACCATAAGTAATAATATGGTTATATAATAATCTTTTTAAGTATATTGTAATATATATTCATAATCTGTGTAAGAAGACACTTAGCAAGATTTATTATTAATTTTATTTATTCAATCTTAAAATATTATGTGTAACTGAGGAAGCAGAATCTTTTAAAATTGAAAGCAGCGTTTCATGTATTTTATGGTATTGCAATGAACATATATTATAATTTTTATCTATATTAATTAGCATGGAAATATATCTTAAGTTAATCAGAAAATTTTCAACAAAATACAATGGACCTTGAAATTTTTGCGAAAACTATTAGCGTAAATATAGTTATATCAATTATTTATTATAATTTTTTTTTAAACTGGTATAATATATATTTTTGATGTTTCCCAAAGAGTCAAATATTATTTAACAATTGCGTCTAGTCAATAATTTAAATTCGGTAATGATATTGGAAAAATTGTATAATTTTGACTAAATTAGTACCTGGATGATGAATAGCCGATATTTCAATTTGAGGCAGCTTGTATATTTATTATGTCAATATCAAACGATAATCACAAAAAGCATTTGATAATAAATGTAAACACGATTAATCTATTGTCATAATAAACGCAGCACGATTGGAATTTAGATTGATGATTTAAGGGTCTTTGTACACTAGAGATTCTTCTTGTTCTTGGATATTAGAATATGACTTGGAATGGATAGCTAAAAATTTTGTACTGAACAACATTGAAACTATTTTTTATAATTATTATTTTTTACTGTGGATGCAATCGTACATCCTAACCTAATATTTTTCCCAGCGGTCAACCACTCTATAATAAAGCAAATAATTTTCGTTCTCAAGTGAAATTTTGATATCATACTGCTAGATATCGAGGAGGTTTGATATTGAATCTGGAGCTTCTATGTTCTAGCCCATTATATCACCAAAGGCTTTATTAATCATTATACCACGAAGGGCTCTAATTAAAAATTGAATTTATCATCTATGCCAGATGCAGTTTAGATAGAAAAAATGGTATTTATAATCAAGAAAACTGAAGATTTAAAACTTTCCGCAGACCAGAGTTTTTTTTTGTGAATATTCTCAATATCAAGGTTGTCCACTTAATTTATGTTTAGAGAATATGGTCATGTACAAAAATCAGTACTTGACATTTTTTATAGTTTGAACAAATATTGTATGCAAATTTATGTACTTATTATAGATTCTAGCAGTACATAATATTAGGTTGAGATATAGATATATATATATATATATATATATACATATATATATATATATATATATATATATAGTCTGAAGTGAAAAGAACTTTTCGGGGGCATTGCTGTAACATATATGCACATCACTATTAGATAGCCAACCATTGGGTTGCCTTGTCGAAACAATACTAGGTAAAAAAGTACAGTAAGAAAAATACCTTATTAAAACAAAATTATTTTAGATTACCAAATGCTAAAAATCTGATCATTATCTGACAAAAATCACAAAATATCACGTGGGCGAAAGAGGGGTGTAGTAAGATATCGCAAGTATTTATTTTTTAACTAATTTTTTTTTTAAAGTTCAAACATTTTCAAAAAAAAAATCAAAAATTTTACAGTTTTTTCACCTAACTAAAAATACACTTGATGTTGGCGGGGCAGGGGGGGTGATTTTGAATATCACCAAGGGGGGGTCTAAAAATCGTTAAAAACTCGCTCACGTGATTAATGGACGTCCCCTTATTGGAATGTATAAAAATAAATAAACCTACCATATTTAATTGGAATTGTTCACCTGTGTGATATAAATACAATAATAGCATTCGTAATCATTTGATGGACAGGTAAAAAATCTAATATTACATTAATGAATACGGCCCTGAATGATCGCACGTTCGCTAAAATTGTGTTAACGCCATACACTTGCTTTGCTGTCCAGTATACACTTGGCTATTACATTTATCAGTGTCATTCATAACACTAAACATTCATTGCTTTGAGGCGGAAGGTTCGAAATATTCAATTTTTTATTGAAAAAAAAATTCAATTTTTTGCAAATTATCATCAGATATAGAACTCTTCCGCCGCCTGCAATGAATATTAGTGTTTCAAAAGCCGTAAAAATCTCGAATTTATTCTAATTTCGAATCAAATGTTGAATTGGTAATTATTGGAAAGTGAATACGCGCTGTGATATACGTTTTAGTAGTTTTTTGTTTGGGAAGTTGTGGAAGAATTTATATAGTTTGCGAAAAGTGATCTCGAAGAATTTATAATGAAAATGTGAGTAAATCATAAATTTTAATTTAGAATTAATTAATAGAAGCGTAGAATTAGTTGTTAGCACATTTTACTTCAACTTGTTAAATAACAATTATTTGTTTTTTTTATTTCACCATATAATTTACAACTGTCTTCAATCGACATCTAGTAAATTTAAAGAAAATATAGTTAAATCGCATATGAGAAATAAATGACAATAGTAGAAAAACCCAGTGTTTCTTCCACTTCAAATATTATACACAATACAATTGTATGATGATCAATTATTAATTTTAACCCTTTCCACTCGCGAATTCGGAGATTTATGTGAATTTTGCCGCCGGAGTAGCGGCATTCGAGTGGAAAGGTCTAATATTTTAAATGTTATACTTTTAAAATCTTTTATTTGCTAGTTTGTTTTCACATAAATTCTAATGATGATGATATATTCACCTAATATTATTTCATTCATCTAATATCATTCATTCATATAATATTATTGGTAGGAGCTTTGTATAAGAAAACCCTTTATAAACTTAAAATATCTGATTTTTTAAATTACATTAATTTTTCAAGAAGAAATTTTTCAATTGATCCATTTAATTAAATAAGTTTAATTAATTGATTTATAGACTGGTATAGGTAATGAATTCTTTATAATCTTAAACCAAATGGAGCATATTTCTGTAGATTTGTTATTATTTCTTGAGTTGTGAAATATTTTTTATTTTATTACTTTTTTAATCCTGCAATTGTTTGACACAGACGTAGTTTATTATTTCTGATTAGGCAATTTGATTGAAATATTAGAATTTTAATAACCAAATCAAATGTTTGTGTTAATCCTGTGTTTATCGAATTATATAAAGAGATATTATTTATTCTAAGAACTATTAAAAAGTACTAATAGAATTTTAATTTAAAGTTCATCCATAAACGTTCTAATTATCTAATTGTTTGATAACACGTGCAATAAATTAACAATCACCGGTTAAAAATATCTACATACAACTTACTGTTCATTATAAATATCAAATTGACTATTAGCAATAAATTATCGTTATTAACCAGCACTTTATTGCACTTTAAAAATATATTGGCAATTAAGAAGAAAGAAAATTTACAAGTGCATTGCTTAAACAATCTTATTAAGCCATTCTAATTTTATTGAAGTTATAATATTTTATTAAAAGTTTAGGGCTTCTTTCATTAGTTATAATTTATAAGACAATAGATCTGTGGCCTTGAAATACAAAATATGTGAAGACATTTAATAGAAGCTTGTACCGACATTGCTAGGTAAAATTAATAAAAACTAGGAGAATTTATTATAAGAAAACAAAAAACGCCGAAACTCAATAAATTATAACAAATCAACGGAAACATGCTTAATAATTATTTATATAATCTAAAAACCAGTAATTCTATAATATTTAATTATTTTTGGAAAACGATATATTCAGTAATTGATTTAATATCTTGGTGTATGGTTTGATATACTATATTCAAAGTAGTTTTGACTTTATATTTTTATCCAGAAATAACCCCTAAAGGCTATTTTCACTTGAAATCATACATTTAATATTATTCTACTTGATATCAAGCTGACCGAGGTTGGGGATTTACTATTCCACGTCCTTCACCATTACACGATGGCTGGCTCAAATCTGAATTTATAATCTTTCAAAATTCTGCCACATAGTATTTTTTATTTGATTAGTTTCTAGAAGAGTTTGTTTATGTTAAAGATCTAATTATCGTGTGTAAAATTCACACATCGCTCCTAATTAATACAAATTGATGTCAAAACAAAAATAGTAATAAATTAACACTACTAAGAAAATAATTATATATAACAATACAAAATATTATTTGGAAATAACAACTTATAAACGAGTACGCATTTTGGATTTCATAGAATAATATAATAATAATTTCTTGAAAATCATCAGAAGAAATGCAAATATTTGATGAGAAGAGATACAAAATATAAAAAAGTTGTGAAAGCATATAATTACACTAATTAGTTATGACCTGAAATAAAATGAAATATAATTATTAAAATATTATTATTATTAAAATATGTAATAAAATAAAAGATATTAAAAATCCTAATTAAAATGTATAAAAATTTATTGGAAAATCATTGAATAAAGATCACTATATATATATATATATATAAGTATTTGGTATGAAAAGGGGCACCCATTATTCACGTGATTGATTTTTTAAGGATTTTTGGACCCCCCTCGCTTTGGTGATACGTAGTGATATTCAAAATTACCCCCCGTCTCTTGTATAAATAATTGTAAATTTTTTCATTATTTCTTTGAAATGTTGGATTTTTTTTAAAAATTCTGGTAAAAAATAAATATACACGTATCATTTTACAATACCCCTCCCTCCCCCACGTGGTATTTTGTGATTTTTGTCAAACTCCCCCCTTCCCCTAAAAACCTCACGTGCCCCCAAATGGAAAATGTTACAAGTGGCAATGCCAATACAAAAATTTCTTTTGAGTCGCGGTATGCATTTTTTTTTTTTTTGAAAAATAGTACTCTTCAGGTGTTCGTACACATTTTATGTATAACTGAAATACCGTGAATTTCTATTATATGAGAAGTACTATTGTGTCAGCACGATGGCACAAATGCAATAAATATTTACGCAGTTGTATCACATATATGTTCTGATGTAGTTATTTACAATTTCCAAATGACAATGAAATTTTGCATTAGAGTTGATTTCACACTTATAAAATTATAAGAATGGAATCATTTAACACAATTCGTATTCATTTACTTCGAATCTGAATAATTAGCATTTGCAAATATAGGCGACAGTATTGTAATTTATGTTAATATGGGATTTGAATATAAGTTTCGTTTTTTGGAATGCCGTGTTGCTATGGAAGTGATCATAGAAAATTCTTCAAAATATTTAATAATAAATAAATCGGAGAAACAATGTAAAGGCTGCAAATAAATTCCAAATTTTATTGAATTTTTAAGATTTTAAGGATTTTTGGACCTCCCCCGCCCCCCTTGGTGATACATGGTGATATTCAAAATTACCCCTCCCTCCCCCACCAAACATCACGTGTATTTTTAGTTTCCTCATAAATCTGTAAAATTTTTGATTTTTTTTAAATGTTTGATTTTTTATAAAAAAAATCATTTAAAAATAAATACACGTGATATCTTACTATACCGCTCTCCCACGTGATATTTTGTGATTTTGTGTCAAACCCCCCCACCCCCCAAACAACATCAAGGGATTAATGGATGTCCCCTTATTGATATTTGATATATTTTTATTATTTTTAATTCTATATGATATATTAGAGTGTTCATGATATAGGGTGGACCTGGAATATTTTAAATATTTTTTTTAATAAATGCAAACTTTGTTTTAATAGATGCAAAATTAAATGGTACCTTCTGTACTTAAGATATATTCTTTGAGATACTCCAATTAGTTTAAATTTATAATTTTTGAACAAAAACAGTTTATTTTATTTTACGTCTCTAAAATAATTTATTTTATATAAAAAATATCCTCTAAATAAATCATTATTTTTTTCTTAGCAATTATTGGTTATATAATAAACTTGCATAGAATTTTATTGCATCACATTGCAATTAGAAAATTACGAGATTGGTTTTATGACGAAGAAGGTTTTTCATGTTAAAGATCGTAATAAAACAATATAGTAATAATTGCTCTAGTGTAATTTTTATTAGATTTTTTTTGTTTGGAAAAGAGTTTCCACTGTTATCAACTGTTTTATTCGAGTACTTAATGGAGTTCATATTAACTTATTTTTATAAGAATTCTGTATTTTTCTTAAGTGGTAAAACAATTATTACATTTTATTTCTTGGTTTATATTAGATTTATGTACTTAAATATATTGAATATATTCACAGTTTAGCAAGATCATTTAGGAGAAGGTTTATCTCAACACCTCATAGAACTATTAACGTCTGATTGCTCTTCAAAAATAATGAAAAAATAAAAAAAATATTTATATAAAATTAATTCATTAATATAAATTTGCTATTTAAATATATTTTGTATAAAAATGAACATTATCGTGATAATAATAATGATCTTATTCTAAATTGTCTTGTACTACTTAACGAGTTAATACCTTAACTCAACTTATCAATACATTATTGGTACAATAATATAATAATAAATATAATATAATTTTTTATGTTAAATATAATAATAGTTAAATAATCTTAAATTTAAAAGTATTCTAATTATTACAATGATGATACCTTAATCAACTAAATATAGCTCTTTGATCTTTGTTACTATAAACAGAATTTTCATAACCATTTTCGACATGGCGCGTTTGCACTGCTTCTCTTTTTCCGCCTAATTAAGGGAAAAAATTTATGAAAGGTTATAATAATATATAGTAAAATCTCGTATATTTTTAATGAAAATTATACTTTATCATTATTACCTCTGCCTAATAATTGTTTCTCTAAAATCAATATTGGCGATTCGAACGTCAATGACCAAACCAAGGCAACTGCCAATCCTAAAGTTATATCACTTGCAAAAATTATAAACTGAAATTTAAAAAAATACTGTTAAATTTATTGTGTCACCAAATCAAGTGATAAAATCTAAATAAATTATTTTACCAAGTCTGCATCCGAAAAGTTTAAATTAGTTCTTGTAGCCATCCATATGATCATTTGAACATCCATATGCACAAGATATAGGGAATATGATAGTCTGCTTATCGGTTGCCAAAATCCTAGTGATAGGAACCAGTTGATAGGACCTAAATAATTAAAATTATAGATTAATCCAATGTAGCATATAAAAAATTAAAATTGGCTTATGTATTTTATGTAGTTAGCAGGTGATTGGCATACTTGTTGATGATTAGCAGGCGGTTTTATCTATTGGTTGAAGATTAATGTAGAATATTGAAGGGATGGTAATAAAATTAAGCACTTTAGAAAATTGATTTGAAGCATACAGCATTTCAATAAAAAAAAATTATAATTTTCAACAGCAATCAAAACTTCAAGTCCTATAAGCTGTTGAGCACAAACTTCTCCTTACTTAGATTTCATTAGATGGTAACCCAATTGTTAATCCATCTGTATTTTATGATATTTCATTATTAGATTTATCTAATAGGCCTGACATTATTTCCATAATATTAATAAAAAAAGTGTGTAGAATGCATATTTTCGCCTATTGCTTATGTGTCTAATGATACTAAAAATGATTGATGTATGATAAAATCAGATAAGAAAGATTGCATTCACAAATTCAGAATGGTTGTCAATATTTTGAAAAAATTCTTCATATAAATTTAACATTTAAAAAAAAACTGTCGTTATCTTTTGCAGATTGCATTCGTAAATAGGGCAAGTAATTTCCACAGTGCGTTTCCTATATACTAATTATTAACTAAACGTGATTAACATCAAGTGCAGTTTATTCTTCGAAGAGTTTTTAATTTGGGGTATTATGGTATAGTATTATGGGCTGCTCTCTGTCGTATTGATTATTTATATACTGATCAAATATTGATCTCATATTAATCATATATCACAATTACATTTTTTTTATATTATAAATATGTATTCTGTATATGTATCCTTTATTACCTCCATATCCATTTTTGCAAGCAAACACTATCCAAGCAATACAGATTCCCCAAGCCAATCTGTGCAAGGAAAGAAATGCCACATTTTGGCTCAAAGTAGAACTTCCATCTAATTTATAGAAGGGATGTGCACCTAATACTACAGCAAGCAATGTTGCTAATACAGCTGCCCACGTGAATCCAACTACATACTGGAAAAAAAAATACTTGAAATTTTAATATTCCAGCAATATCAGGAAAATAAGATGTTCACTAATTCCAAATTAATGGAAGATCATTAAGTGCAAGAGTCTTGATTTGGTAACTGCAGCCTTTGCAGATATTCTTTTTGATAGGATCTTTTCAGATAAATATCAAATTGATCATCATAATTGATCTCAAGTGAAAATTGGTATCATACTCATGCTTGAAAGCTGAGGTTGAGATCGAACCCGGGACTTGGGATTGCTAGCCTTCGATTTTAACTATAACACCACGATGGGATCCATCAACAAAATACAAGTAAAAAAATCTACAATTATTACTTACCTTATTCATATCAAGCCTAACTTCCTTAGTTCTATGCAAAAAGTACCCGAGTAAAACACCAACCAACCAAGGCCCATATCTCGTATGTGTCGGCATGTATATATATTTCATATTCAGCATGAAAGGGTCTCTCCTAAAATAGACAATCAATTTTTGAATTTCCAAATATTTTCTAGGATTGTCTTATAAAAATTATTTTTACTCACGGATCCATTATACCTCCAGGATATTCATCTATGTACGAAATTATTGCTATGATTATGACTGATGTGAATATCAACGTAACTATTGCCATTAGGGTTTTTTTGGGCCATTTCCATAAAGGTAGAAGTATGAATGGTGACATCCAGAAAAGTTGGGTGTCCACAGCTAAGTACCAGGATTGGCCAACACACTATAAAAAATTAATAAATTTAGGAAGTTATAAATATCCTAAGTCTAGTTTCAATGAGAATCAATATATAGTTGCAACTTAACCCTTTCCACTCTGGCGTTTCAAAATTTGTATGTATTTTGTCGCCGGAGCGGCGGCATCCGAGTGGAAAGGGTTAATATATTAATGTAATTATTAGTAATATGAACCTGAAATTTTAAGAATAATGAAGTGAAATAAAATTGCAGTTAAAATTTACGTTGTTCGGGTTTTGAACGTTTCAAATAATTCTGATCAATTTGGTAAAAATGTACTGATCACCGTTGATGTCCACTGTTAAGTAAATTTATACACAAAGTAGAAATTTTATTATATATCCCGGTTTAAATATGACATTTCAAATTATGGTGATAATATTATCATGAGGAAGTTTTTTTTGTAAAATTTGCAAATCACACAGTGTTTATCAGTGATCGTTCTCATTATTAACGCACATTTTTTCATAGTTGCGCTAATCTTTTGTCCGATATGATAATTTTTGTTTCACGAGATAATGATAATTTAATAAAAATTAAGAATCATTATCTTAATAGTTGTTTATCAATTAAATTCATTATTTGATTTAAATGAAAACAAGATTTACTATTTCTGAAAATCATCATATGCCGCAATAGCATTCTAATTGGAATATCTTAAGTATTCTAACTGGATTTTTTAAATAAATTCAATTCAAATGTTGCTGATACAAAAATACTATTACAATAATTTATACATAATGCTAGTCGATAAAAACAATAAATTTGATAAAAAAAATATTAACTTACGATGCCATCAGGGTTATAATAATTCTGTATATACAATAATGTTTGCCACCAAGCTTTTTCACAAGTACTTTTCAATGCTTTCAAATTAGTTTCCCACAATGGACCATCTCGCATTCTTATTAACAAAGTTGCCTCAAAAAGAACAACGGCCGCCAGGGCCGGAGTGAGACGTAGAAATCGATGCAAATAAAACATGGCAGGTTTAAAATCAGTAGATGTTCTCATTTGCTTCAAAAATATAAATGTGAGAAGCATTCCACTCATAACGAAAAATGTGTCCACAGATACTGTAGCACCTGTAAGATATGTGCTACCTATATTTTGAACCCACTGAAATTTAAAAAATACAATTAATTTAAATTGATTATTAAAGGAATAGGTAATTTTACCTTGGTAAATACATAAGTAGTATTCATGGTGGGTCCCATTATAGCAACACTAAATCGGTGCCCCAAAACAACCCAGAAGATACTCAAAGCTCGGATTCCATGGACACAACTTATTTCATCAGCTGATTTATTTGGTGGATGGATAGTTAATAAACGATTTGCATTTGTATATACAGAAAATGCAGTCAGTAAGGGTTTTTTTCTTGAAGAATCTGAAATAGGATATTTAATATAAACGCTAGTAGAAGAATTTGTCTTAAAATCGAATATGATGAATATATAGTATTTACCCATCAATAAGTCGTACAACGTGCTGGACAATAGGAGGATTCCAAATAACGAGAACAACAATCTGAAATATAGAAAAATATATTGAAATTTGTGCCATATG